TCTGTCAAATCAGAATGTCCTCCTATACAGGACAAGCACTTCTAGGAATACCTTCATACAAGTCTTTGTGTGGATGGATGTCTTTGTTTATCTTGTGTAAATGCCAAGGAGTGAAACGGCTGGGTTCTCTGGTCAGTGTATGCATAAGCTTATTGGAAACTGCCAAACTATTTCCAAAGGAGCTGTGACATCTTGCATTGCCCCCAGCAATGATTTCTGGCTGCTCCACATCCTCCCCAGTACTCAGTATTGCCCGTCTTACTCATTTGAACCATTCCAGTGGGTGTGCAGTGGTATCTCATTGTGGTCTTCATTTGCATTTCTCAAATCCTTTTCATGTGTTTATTTGCCATTCATGTATCTTTTTGGTAAAGGGTATGTTCACATTTTTGCCCAGTTGTTAAACTGGATTTTGTTTTGTTATTACTGAGGTGAAAGATGTTTTTATAAATTCTGTCTAGAAGGTTTTTATTATACATTTGCAAATATTTTCTCTTAACCATTACTCGTCTTTTCATTTTCTCTTCTTTGTTTCTTTTTTGTTTTTTTTTAGTTTTTCTGTTTTTGCAGTAAGACATGTGCCCTTGCTGTAAAGAGACAGAGGCAGAAATAGAGAAAGCGAGAAATCATTTTCTCAGACATACGGCCATCCTGCAATCCCTTCTCCTCCATTCTCTTTCTGGGATTTTGGGCATACATGCACTTGCATCTGGCCTGAGTTTCAAGCTACTGGATCCAGAACTTGAACTGTGGTTGGCCACGTGGAGTCCAGCACCTTAACCACCACACCACCTGCTAATCCCTTGTCTTTTCATTTTCTTAACAGTATTTTTAGAGAACAGAATTTAAATTTTGATGGAATTCAAGCTTTTTTATGTTTCATTCCACAAAAATCTCTCCCTGACCCATGGCCACTAAGATTTTCTTCAGGGGTTGGCAGGTGGCATAGTGGTTAAAGCGCTGGACTTGCACATAGTCAACCACGCTTTGAGTCCCGGACTGGGTGGCTTGAAACTGATGTCCAGGTGCTTGTGTGTGCGTGCCCAAAATCCCAAGAGGAGAATGGAGGAGAAGAGATTGTGACATGGCCATCCTGCTGGTAGGGGGAAGTGAGTTCTCACTTTTTGTCTCCAGTGAATGCACACACCCTATAGCAAAAAATCTTTCAAAATAAAAGGTTTTCTCTTTTTTTTTCCTAAAATTTTTATGGAGTTAGCTCTTAAATTTAGGTCTATGATTTACTTAGAGTTAACTTTCTGTGTATGGTGTGAGGCGAGGATTGAGGTTCATTTATTTGTTCTAGTATATGAATGTCTAGTTGCTCTAGTGCCGTTTGTTGAAAAGACTGCTTTCCTCCATTCAATTATCTTGCCCTTCTTGTCAAAAATCAGTTGACCAAATATGTATGCTCTATTCTTGACTCTGTTTTGTTCCATTCATCTATATGTCTATCCTTAGCCCCGTACTATACTGTTGTGTTTGCTGTACTTCCATAGTAAGTCTTGAAATCAGGTAGTGTGAATCCCTCAGCTGTGTTTTTCTTAAAATTGTTTTGACTCTTCTAGGTTCTCTGTGTTTCCATACGAGTTTTACAATCAGTTTGTAATTATCTACCAAAAGGGGGAAGAAAGAAAGGCTGTGGGCATTGTGTTGAATCTACAGATCAATGTTAGAATATGACGTTTGGGCTAGCTGGTGGCATAGTGGTTAAGGTGCTGGACTTCACAAGGCCGACCACGATTCGAGTCCTGGACCTGGTGGTCTGAAACTCACGTTGGGTGCATGTGTATGTTTGCCCCAAATCCCTGGAAGAGAAGGGATTGCAGTATGGCCATCCCCTCTTGGGGGTGAGCCCATTTGCCCTTTGGCAAAACACTAAAAAAAAGTGATGTTTTAGCAATACTAGATTTCTGATCTGTGAACACTATGTATCACTTCTTTTACTTAGGTAGCTCTTCAAAATTCTCTTCCTGCAAGATATTTTTTTTTCAATTTTTTTTTTTTTAAGGTTTTATGTGAGCCAGAGTCTAATCGTCTGATTTATTCATTTTTCTGGAGTGTGGTCCCCACACTGTTTCTGGGTCAGCCATCCTGGGTGCGGGGAGCACTGTGCACCTCTGTGGTTTCAGCCTGTTATTTCCTACCAATAAATTCCAACTCAGGGGAAAGAGGTTTCTTCATTGGTTACTCTCCTGGGCATCCGCCCTGGGAAAATAGCCTTTCTAGCCACATGCTCCAAGCCCTGGGTGCTCTCCACTCTGCCTGGGGCAGAGCACAGGTGGGGTGGGGGCCGCTTGCCAGCAGGGATAAGGTTACACTGAGCCTGCTCCAGCCTCCAGCAGCAGCACTGTGATGTTGACATATAAGGAAAAGTACTTAGGGTCTGGCTGGCAGGCCTTCCAGGGGCCTTTCCCCTTCCCCTGAACTTGCTGTTTCTCTTTCGCTCCTACTTTTGGGGGGGCAGGCACTGCAAGGGGCCAGCTGCAACTTTGCCCACCTGCAGTCCCTCCTTTTGGGCTGAGTTCTTCATTGGTTTCCTCTTAATCAGACCAGTGAAAACATACTCTCCACATTGAGTTTTTTAAAAAGTGAAAAGTGCCCTCAATTCTTTTGCACAGTTTTCTTTCCTTTTTTTTTTTTTTTTTTAATTCTTCCTCTCTGTCTCTCGTGCACTTGGGGGGAGAGTTGGTGTGCCTATGCACCGACATTTCTTCGCCTTACCCTCTATAGCACGATAAGTAGAGTGTTGGAGCCTCCTTCCAGAACTTCCAGGAATATTTGGCCAGCTCTTGCCCTCCCCTCTGCCAAGGATGTTCTGCAGACTGTTTCCGGAGGGTTGTGTGTCTGTGCTATGCCTTTTCAGTTACAGTTGTTATGTACTATCACCAAGGGAGGGAAATACGGATTCAGGGAGAAGACGGATATTATCCTCTCCCTTGACTGTCATGAGGTGCCCTGGATAGGTGTAGAGCCCAAAGCACACATGCCATTGTCCTCCAAACAGTGCCTGCCACCCCCGGTGATCATGCTGAATTATGCATGGGCAGAGGCTTTCTGCAGTGCTGTTTTTCCACTGGAGCACAAAGCACTCTGTTGCAGGAGGGATTTTACACAGCGAGTCCTCCAGGCTCCGTGCTTTCCAGCAGAGAGGGTTCATTGGGTGTGAGTTTATGCAGATACGTCGGTTTAACTTTCTGTTTGAGCGTTATTTCCTTGAGCACACACACACACACACACACACACACACACACACACACAAAATACTGAAAGTTTAAATATCAAACAATTAGGTTTTCGAAATAAAGAAAGGCAAGAAGGAACAAAGAAAAATCAGAAATGCCAAATTGAACTCTTCTCTGGTCAGATAAGAAACTGCCTTTAGCTGCACCTAAATGAGTCTAACTGCTGATGGTGTGATGGGGCATTTTTCTCTTCTCCGTGTATTTTCTTCATTCTTATTTTACTCCAGTTGCATTTCCTCACTTCCCTCCAACTAAAACTCAAAACGAAGACAAAAACATTTCGTTCATTAGAGTGATTGAAGGACCATTTGGGGTCAGCAGGTGGTGTGGAGGTTAAGGTGGCTGTATCCCACAGAGCTGGCTACGCAGAGACTCGACCTGGTGGCCTAAAAAACACACTGGGGCGCAAGGACACGTGTGCCCAAACTCTCAAGAGGAGAGTGAAGGAGAAGGGATTGCGGCATGGCCACTCTCTTTGTGGGGAGATGGTTTTCACTTTTCTTCTCTGTCTCTGTCTTTCTCCAGTGAGTGCATGCATCTTATAGCAAAACTAAAAAAAGCAAAAGACTATCTTGCACAGAGTAGACCCACAAAAGCTATTTGTTAGATGAATAAGTGACATAAACATTGTTTCCATGTCACATATATCAAACATGGTAACTACCAAATGCCAATTCTTTTTTTTAATTTAATTTTATTTATTATCATAATCTTTTTTACATTACATTGAATCACATATCTCTTTACAGTGTATTACATTTCTTTTTTCCAGCACGATTACCATGCATATCAGTCAAGACAGAGACAATACTATCCCTATCATCGTCATCAAATAGCTTTTTTCATTTTTTTCAGATTATTACTATTATTATTATTTATTCTCATTATTTTTTAAACATTCAATCACTATATATCATTTGGCTTGTATAAAGAATTTACCTAACATGAAATACTTCTCAGACAAGTCTGGTTGAGAATACTATACATGTTACCATCAACAGGTGATAAGCCATTTCTGTGTCCCACTAATGGTACGCCTCTCTATTTGCTCTCTCGCTATCTTTCTCTATACTCTTCCCTTCTCCCACCCCATTCCACACTGTCTTCAGCATCCCTAACTATTTTCACTGCTTTTATGCCCTCCAGTATTTCAATTTCTTCTACCATAAAGTGCGGATAGTCGGTATAATATTAAGTGGATACATACAATATCTTTCTTTCATATCCTGGTCAAATGCCATTTCTTGAAAAGTAACATTCAAGAAAACAATTTGAAAACAATAGGAAGCACATTACTACAATGGAAGGCCAAAACTAGGGAACAGAGGGAGGAGGGGAGGGGAGGTGGTGGACTGGTTCTGTTGAAGATTAGATACAAGTAGTTGGTTCAGGTATTTAGAATTCTGCAGGCACTGAGTGACCTAATTAAAACATTTTACTTTATCTATGCCTGGGCATTCCCCTTTGGATTGTTTCTTGAACATCTATTACTGTCCAATAATTGGTAGTGGGTAGGCCTGTGTTTGATATGTATACGAGTTAACATAAACTTGGAAACTGGATTTGCAGTACACACGTGTTATTTATTCATCCAACAAATAGCTTTTGTGGGTTACAGAGGCCAGCCTACACAAGGCCTTGTGCTGGGTCCATGCTTAATTTTGTATTGCAAATATAAGTAATTGCTGTCTGTCTTGCTGATAAATTTGATTCCCTCATGGTATCATCAGCGGTCATTTTTCTTCTGTCCATTTGAAGGTGATGACCAAGAAGGAGGACTTCTTCAATGCCTGGAACTCATGTCTACACCATGTGGTTTCCCTGTCTCTGGCACACATTCACAGAGGTCAGTTGGCTTTTGCTGAATATTTGTAACTGAGCAACACTGGAGTCTGCAGGTCATCTGGGAGCACAACTCTGCAGAGAAAAGACAGCCCCTGTACAAGTCTGGTTGAATTTAGAGACTTGCAGCTTGTAGTAAATAAGTTCCTAGTTGCTAGGAACACTGACTAGGTGACATCCACGAAGCCCACCTCTAAGCCATCGGGAACAACTCACTTAACACAACCCCTCCATCGCAAAGGGCTCTAGACAAGAGCCCGCTGGCAAAATGCCAGCCCTTCAAAGGTGGCCCTCTGCCATCAAAGACTCATTCCTAAATAAGCAAATGGGTGGTGGATACACAGATAAAGTGAGAGGGTCTTAATAGGACCACTATCTGAAGAACTTTAAGTACTAGAACTAACTATGCAAAGCTAGTTTTCAAGTTAGCAAGAAATCAGTTCAGTCTTTTAAAGCGTTGGTTCCTGACTGAGGCTACTTTGTCCTCTAGTGGGTATTTGGCAATATTTGGAGACACTCTTGGTTGTCATAACCGAGGGCCAGGGCTACTCGTATCTAGTGGGTTTGGAAGCCGGGAATACTGCTGCATGTCCTCCAGTGCACTGGCCCGTTTCCCACAACAAAGAACTAACCAGCCCACGGTGCCAATAAGGCTGAGAATGAGAAACTTGAATATTTCAGCCTCAGAATAACAAAATAAAATGAAACACTGAAAATCAAGTGCGATCCATGACAGAGCTCACTGAAATGCTTGTCTAACCTTGAGATTGTTGCTGTATTTACCACCATGACCTTACGACACAAGACAAAGTATTATTAGATTGTTGGGAAAGTCACGATGTGTTTTTCTGTTTTTCTATGCAAAAACGTGTCATGACTTCCCGACAATCCAATGCAAGACAAAGGACAAATGCCCCCTGGGCCTGTTTGCTGGTAGGCTTTGCCATCACACTGGGTCACGGCCGGGCAGGGTCGGTCGCAGCACAGCCCCAGGGCCTTGACCTGCAGTGCATCTTTGGACACCATCTCATGGGGTGGACATGGGGGCCCCAGTAGAGAGTGTTAAGGGTCAGGGCATACCATAGGTCTGCCACCCAGGAACCCGTGCATCTGACCCAACCTCCCAGCCTGCTTACCATCCTTCCTCTCCAGCCAGTTCTGAAAGAATGAGGTGTCACATTAAGGGCCATGTGATCAGGTGCTGCTTGATTAAC